AATTTCGCACATGCTAGACCCTTGTTCTCTTCATTTTGCACACGCTAGGCCCTTGTTCTTGCAATTTTGCACACGATAGGCCCTGTTCTTGATTTTTTGCATACGCTAGGCCCTTGCTTTTACTATTTTGCACTCGCTAGGCCCTTGTTCTTGCAATTTTGCACACCCTAGGCCCTTGTTCTTGCAATTTTGCACACGCTAGGCCCTTGTTCTTTTTATTTTGCACACGGTAGGCCCTTGTTCTATTTATTTTGCACACGCTATGCCCTTGTTCTTTTTATTGTGGACACGGTAGGTCCTTGTTCTTGCAACTTTGCACATGCTAGACCCTTGTCCTTTTTATTTTGCACACGCTAGGCCCTTGTTCTTGATTTTTTGCACACGCTAGGCCCTTGCTCTTGCTATTTTGCACTCGCTAGGCCCTTGTTCTTGCAATTTTGCACACGCTAGGCCCTTGTTCTTGCAATTTTGCACACGCTAGGCCCTTCTTCGTTTTATTTTGCACACGCTAGGCCCGTGTTCTTTTTATTTTGCACAAGCTAGGCCCTTGTTCTTGCAATCTTGCACACGCTATGCCCTTGTTCTTTTTATTTTGAACACGCTAGGCCCTTGTTCTTGCAGTTTTGCATATGCTAGACCCTTGTTCTTTTTATTTTGCATACGCTAGGCCCTTGTTCTTGCTATTTTGCACATGCTATGCCCTTGTTCTTTTTATTTTGAACACGCTTGGCCCTTGTTCTTGCAATTTTGCACATGCTAGACCCTTGTTCTTTTTTTTTTGCACATGCTAGGCCCTTGTTCTTGCTATTTCGCGAACGCTAGGCCCTTGTTCTTGCTATTTTGCACACGTTATGCCCTTGCACACGCCAGGCCCTTGCTCTTGCTATTTTGCACTTGCTAGGCCCGTGTTCTTGCATTTTTGCACACGTTAGGCCCTTCTGCTTGCAATTTTGCACACGCTAGGCCCTTGTTCTTTTTATTTTGCACACGCTAGGCCTTTGTTCTTGCTATTTTGCACACGCTATGCCCTTGTTCTTTTTTTTTTGCACAAGCTAGGCCCTTGCTCTTGCTATTTTGCACTCGCTAGGCCCTTGTTCTTTTTATTTTGCACACGCTAGGCCCTTGTTCTTGCTATTTTGCACTCGCTATGCCCTTGTTCTTTCTATTTTGCACACGATAGGCCCTTGTTCTTGCAAATTTGCACATGTTAGACCCTTGTTCTTTTCATTTTGCACACGCTAGGCCCTTGTTCTTGCAGCTTCGCGAACGCTAGGCCCTTGTTCTTGATTTTTTGCACACGCTAGGCCCTTGCTCTTGCTATTTTGCACTCGCTAGGCCCTTGTTCTTGCAATTTTGCACACGATAGGCCCTTGTTCTTGCAATTTTGCACATGCTAGGCCCTTGTTCTTTTTATTTTGCACACGCTAGGCCCTTGTTCTTTTTATTTTGCACACGCTATGCCCTTGTTCTTTTTATTTTGCACACGCTATGCCCTTGTTCTTTTTATTTTGCACATGCTAGGCCCTTGTTCTTGCAATTTTGCACATGCTAGGCCCTTGTTCTTTTTATTTTGCACACGCTAGGCCCTTGTTCTTGCTATTTCGCGAACGCTAGGCCCTTGTTCTTGATTTTTTGCACACGCTAGGCCCTTGCTCTTGCTATTTTGCACTCGCTAGGCTCGTGTTCTTGCAATTTTGCACACGTTAGGCCCTTGTTCTTGCAATTTTGCACACGCTAGGCCCTTGTTCTTTTTTTTTTTGCACACGCTAGGCCCTTGTTCTTGCTATTTTGCACACGCTATGCTCTTGTTCTTTTTATTTTGCACACGCTAGGCTCTTGTTCTTGCAATTTTGCACATGCTAGACCCTTGTTCTTTTTATTTTGCACACGCTAGGCCCTTGTTCTTGCTATTTCGCGAATGCTAGGCCCTTGTTCTTGATTTTTTGCACACGCTAGGCCCTTGCTCTTGATTTTTTGCATACGCTAGGCCCTTGTTCTTTTTATTTTGCACACGCTAGGCCCTTGTTTTTTTTATTTTGCACACGCTAGGCCCTTGTTCTTGCTATTTTGCACATGCAATGCCCTTGTTCTTTTTATTGTGCACACGGTAGGTCCTTGTTCTTGCAACTTTGCACATGCTATACACTTGTCCGTTTTATTTTCCACACGCTAGGCCCTTGTTCTTGCTATGTCGCGAACGCTAGGCCCTTGTTCTTGATTTTTTGCACACGCTAGGCCCTTGCTCTTGCTATTTTGCACTCGCTAGGCCCTTGTTCTTGCAATTTTGCACACGCTAGGCCCTTGTTCTTGCAATTTTGCACACGCTAGGGCCTTCTTCGTTTTATTTTGCACACGCTAGGCCCGTGTTCTTTTAATTTTGCACAAGCTAGGCCCTTGTTCTTGCAATCTTGCACACGCTATGCCCTTGTTCTTTTTATTTTGTACACGCTAGGCCCTTGTTCTTGCAATTTTGCATATGCTAGATCCTTGTTCTTTTTATTTTGCATACGCTAGGCCCTTGTTCTTGCTATTTTGCACATGCTATGCCCTTGTTCTTTTTATTTTGAACACGCTAGGCCCTTGTTGTTGCAATTTTGCACATGCTAGACCCTTGTTCTTTTTATTTTGCACATCCTAGGCTCTTGTTCTTGCTATTTCGCGAACGCTAGGCCCTTGTTCTTCCTATTTGGCACACGTAATGCCCTTGTTCTTTTTATTTTGCACACGCTAGGCCCTTGTTCTTACTATTTTGCACATGCTAGACCCTTGTTCTTTTTATTTTGCACACGCTAGGCCCTTGCTCTTGCTATTTCGCGAACGCTAGGCCCTTGTTCTTGATTTTTTGCACACGCTAGGCCCTTGCTCTTGCTCTTTTCCACTCGCTATGCCCTTGTTCTTGCAACTTTGCACACGCTAGGCCCTTGTTCTTGCAATTTTGCACACGCTAGGCCCTTGTTCTTTTTTTTTTGCACACGCTAGGCCCTTGTTCTTTTTATTTTGCACATGCTAGGCCCTTGTTCTTGCTATTTTGCACACGCTATGCCCTTGTTCTTTTTATTTTGAACACACTAGGCCCTTGTTCTTGCTATTTCGCGAACGCTAGGCCCTTGTTCTTGATTTTTTGCACACGCTAGGCCCTTGCTCTTGCTATTTTTCACTCGCTAGGCCCTTGTTCTTGCAATTTTGCACACGTTAGGCCCTTGTTCTTGCAATTTTGCACACGCTAGGCCCTTGTTCTTTTTATTTTGCATACGCTAGGCCCTTGTTCTTGCTATTTTGCACATGCTATGCACTTGTTCTTTTTATTTTGAACACGCTAGGCCCTCGTTCTTGCAATTTTGCACATGCTAGACCCTTGTTCTTTTTATTTTGCACATCCTAGGCTCTTGTTCTTGCTATTTCGCGAACGCTAGGCCCTTATTCTTGCTATTTTGCACACGTTATGCCCTTGTTCTTTTTATTTTGCACACGCTAGGCCCTTGTTCTTGCTATTTTGCACATGCTAGACCCTTGTTCTTTTTATTTTGCACACGCTAGGCCCTTGCTCTTGCTATTTCGCGAACGCTAGGCCCTTGTTCTTGATTTTTTGCACACGCTAGGCCCTTGCTCTTGCTCTTTTCCACTCGCTATGCCCTTGTTCTTGCAACTTTGCACACGCTAGGCCCTTGTTCTTGCAATTTTGCACACGCTAGGCCCTTGTTCTTTTTATTTTGCACATGCTAGGCCCTTGTTCTTGCTACTTTGCACATGCTATGCCCATGTTCTTTTTATTTTGAACACACTAGGCCCTTGTTCTTGCTATTTCGCGAACGCTAGGCGCTTGTTCTTGATTTTCTGCACACGCTAGGCCCTTGCTCTTGCTATTTTGCACTCGCTAGGCCCTTGTTCTTGCAATTTTGCACAGGTTAGGCCCTTGTTCTTGCAATTTTGCACACGCTAGGCCCTTGTTCTTTTTATTTTGCACACGCTAGGCCTTTGTTCTTGCTATTTTGCACACGCTATGCCCTTGTTCTTTTTATTTTGCACAAGCTAGGCCCTTGCTCTTGCTATTTTGCACTCGCTAGGCTCTTGTTCTTGCAATTTTGCACACGATAGGCCCTTGTTGTTGCAATTTTGCACATGCTAGGCCCTTGTTCTTGCTATTTTGCACACGCTAGGCCCTTGTTCTTTTTATTTTGCACACGCTAGGCTCTTGTTCTTGCTATTTTGCACTCGCTATGCCCTTGTTCTTTTTATTTTGCACACGCTAGGCCCTTGTTCTTGCCAATTTGCACATGCTAGACCCTTGTTCTTTTCATTTTGCACACGCTACGCCCTTGTTCTTGCAGCTTCGCGAACGCTAGGCCCTTGTTCTTGATTTTTTGCACACGCTAGGCCCTTGCTCTTGCTATTTTGCACTCGCTAGGCCCTTGTTCTTGCAATTTTGCACACGATAGGCCCTTGTTCTTGCAATTTTGCACATGCTAGGCCCTTGTTCTTTTTATTCTGCACACGCTAGGCCCTTGTTCTTTTTATTTTGCACACGCTATGCCCTTGTTCTTTTTATTTTGCACACGCTAGGCCCTTGTTCTTGCTATTTCGCGAACGCTAGGACCTTGTTCTTGATTTTTTGCACACGCTAGGCCCTTGCTCTTGCTATTTTGCACTCGCTAGGCCCTTGTTCTTGCAATTTTGCACACCTTAGGCCCTTGTTCTTGCAATTTTGCACACCTTAGGCCCTTGTTCTTGCAATTTTGCACACGCTAGGCCCTTGTTCTTGCAATTTTGCACACGCTAGGCCCTTGTTCTTTTTATTTTGCACACGCTATGCCCTTGGAGCATCGGCCTGTCTGGCCGGCATTTCGCACTCATAGTGCAGGTGGGGCCAGGGAGAACGGAAACGCTCGTTTCTCAAAAAGTAGAAGGAATGTAACGGTCTCACTCGATCAAAAGGTGGGAAATATATAAATCTAGTCAGCTAAAAAGGTTTGAAATGTATTCAACGCACATGTATAGAGAAAATGGTGCATTGGCCAGGTCGGTCAGTATCGGAACTTCAAATGCAAATGCTGGACATGGACGTAGACGTGGACGTGGACATGGACGTAGACGTGGACGTGGACGTAGACGTAGACGTGGACGTGGACGTGGACGTGGTCGTGGACGTGGACGTAGACATGGACGTGGACGTGGACGTCGACCTGGACGTGGACGTGGACGTGGACATGGACGTGGACGTGGACTTGGACGTGGACATGGACATGGACGTGGACGTGGACGTGGATGTGGACGTCGACGTGGACGTGGACGTGGACGTGGACGTGGACATGGACGTGGATGTGGACGTGGACGTGGACGTGGACATGGACGTGAAGGTGGACGTGGACATGGACGTGGAGGTGGACGTGGACATGGACGTAGACATGGTCGTGGACGTGCACATGGACGTGGTCGTAGACGTGGACATGGACGTAGACGTGGACGTGGACGTGGACGTGGTCGTGGACGTGGTCGTGGACGTGGACGTGGACAAGGACGTGGACGTGGACATGGACGTGGACGTGGAGGTGGACGTGGATGTTGACGTGGACGTGGACGTGGAGATGGACGTGGACGTGGACATGGACCTATACGTGGACGTGGACGTGGACGTGGACGTGGACGTGGACGTAGACGTGGACGTGGACGTGGACGTGGACGTGGACATGGACGTCGACATAGACGTGGACGTGGACATGGACGTGGACGTGGACGTGGACATGGACGTGGACGTGGACTTGGACATGGACATGGACGTGGACGTAGACGTGGACGTGGATGTGGACGTGGACATGGACATGGACGTGGACGTAGACATGGACGTGGACATGGACGTGGACGTGGAGGACTTGGACGTGGACATGGACGTGGACGTGGACGTGGACGTGGACGAAGACATGGTCGTGGACGTGGACGTGGACGTGGACGTGGACATGGACGTGGACGTGGACGTGGACGTGGACGTGGACATGGACGTGGACGTGGACGTGGACATGGACATGAACATGGACGTGGACGTGGACGTGGACATGGTCGTGGACGTGGACGTGAACGTGGACGTGGACGTGGACGTGGTCGTGGACGTGGACGTGGACGTGGACATGGTCGTGGACGTGGACATGGACGTGGAGGACTTGGACGTGGACATAGACGTAGACGTGGACGTAGACATGGACGTGGACATGGACGTGGACGTGGACGTGGAGGACCTGGACGTGGACATGGACGTGAACGTGGACGTGGACGTGGACGAAGACGTGGTCGTGGACGTGGACGTGGACATGGACGTGGACGTGGAGGTGGACGTGGACGTGGACGTGGACATGTACGTGGACGTGGACGTGGACGTGGACTGGACGTGGACGTGGACGTGGACGTGGACCTGGTCGTGGACGTGGACGTGAACGTGGACCTGGTCGTGGACGTGGACGTGAACGTGGACATGGACGTGGACGTGGTCGTGGACGTGGACGTGGACGTGGACATGGACGTGGACGTGGACGTGGACGTGGACGTGGAAATGGTCGTGGACGTGGACATGGACGTGGACGTGGACATGGACATGGACGTGGACGTGGACGTGGACGTGGACGTGGACATGGACATGGACGTGGACGTGACGTGGACGTGGACGTGGACGTGGACATGGACGTGGACGTGGACATGGACGTGGACATGGACGTGGACGTGGACGTGGACATGGACGTGGACGTGGACATGGACGTGGACATGGACGTGGACATGGACGTGGACGTGGACGTGGACGTGGACATGGACGTGGACATGGACGTGGACATGGACGTGGACATGGACGTGGACGTGGACATGGACGTGGACATGGACGTGGACGTGGACATGGACGTGGACGTGGACATGGACGTGGACGTGGACGTGGAACGTGGACGTGGACGTGGACGTGGACGTGGACGTGGACGTGGAGGACTTGGACGTGGACATGGACGTGGACGTGGACGTGGACGTGCACGTGGACGTGGAGAACATGGACGTGGACATGGACGTGAACGTGGACGTGGACGTGAACGTGGACGTGAACGTGGACGTGGACGTGGACGTGGACGTGGACGTGGACGTAGTCGTGGACATGGACGTGGACATGGACGTGGACATGGACGTGGTCGTGGACGTGGACATGGACGTGGACGTGGACGTGGACATGGTCGTGGACATGGACGTGGACGTGGACGTGGACGTCGACGTGGTAATGGCGATGGACGTGGACATGGACGTGGACGTGGACGTGGAGGTGGACGTGACGTGGACGTGGACGACGTGGACGTGACGTGGACAAGGACGTGGACAAGGACGTGGACGTGGACGTGGACGTGGACGTGACGTGGACGTGACGTGGACAAGGACGTGGACATGGACGTGGACGTGGACGTGGACGTGGACGTGGAGGTGGACGTGACGTGGACGTGGACGTGGACGTGACGTGGACCTGACGTGGACGTGGACGTGGACCTGACGTGGACGTGGACGTGGACGTGGACGTGACGTGGACGTGGACGTGAACATGGACGTGGACGTGGACATGGACGTGGACATGGACGTGGACATGGACGTGGACATGGACGTGGACGTGGACGTGGACATAGACGTGGACGTGACGTGGACGTGGACGTGGACGTGGACGCGGACGCGGACGTGGACGCGGACGAGGACGCGGACATGGACGTGGACGTGGACATGGACGTGGATGTGGACGTAAGGGTTTGAAAGGTAACTAACGCACATGTGTAGAGAAAATTGTGCATCGGCCAGTCTGGCCGGCATTTCGCACTTATAGTGCAAGTAGGGCCAAGGAGAACAGAAACGCTCATTTCTCAAAAAGTAAAGGGAATCTAGCGATCTCACTCGATCAAAAGGTGGGAAATATATAAATCTAGTGAGCTAATAAGGTTCGAAAGGAATCTAATGCATATGTATATGGAAAATGGTGCATTGGCCAGGTCGGTCAGTATGGGAACTTAGAGTGCAAATGCCAGGGAGAACGGAAGCGCTCAGATCTCGCATAGTACACGGAATCTAGTGGTCTCACTAAAATAGAACGTAGGAAATAAATTCATCTAGTGAACGTAAGGGTTTGAAAGGTAACTAACGCACATGTGTAGAGAAAATGGTGCATCGGCCAGTCTGGCCGGCATTTCGCACTTATGGTGCAAGTAGGGCCAAGGAGAACGGAAACGCTCATTTCTCAAAAAGTAAAGGGAATCTAGCGGTCTCACTCGATCAGAAGGTGGGAAATATATAAATCTAGTGAGCTAATAATGTTCGGAAGGAATCTAATGCATATGTATATGGAAAGTGGTGCATTGGCCAGGTCGGTCAGTATGGGAACTTAGAGTGCAAATGCCAGGGAGAACGGAAGCGCTCAGATCTCGCATAGTACACGGAATCTAGTGGTCTCACTCAAATAGAAGGTAGGAAATAAATTCATCTAGTGAACGTAATGGTTTGAAAGGTAACTAACGCACATGTGTAGAGAAAATGGTGCATCGGCCAGTCTGGCCGGCATTTCGCACTCCTAGTGCAAGTAGGGCCAAGGAGAACAGAAACAATCATTTCTCAAAAAGTAAAGAAAATCTAGCCGTCTCACTCGATCGAAAGGTGGGAAATATATAGATCTAGTGAGCTAATAAGGTTCGAAAGGAATCTAATGCATATGTATATGGAAAATGGTGCATTGGCCAGGTCGGTCTGTATGGGAACTTAGAGTGCAAATGCCAGGGAGAACGGAAGCGCTCAGATCTGGCATAGTACACGGAATCTAGTGGTCTCACTCAAACAGAAGGTAGGAAATAAATTCATCTAGTGAACGTAAGGGTTTGAAATGTAACTAACGCACATGTGTAAAGAAAATGGTGCATCGGCCAGTCTGGCCAGCATTTCGCACTTATAGTGCGCTATAAGTGCGAAATGCCGGCCAGACTGGCCGATGCACAATTTTCTCTACACATGTGCGTTAGTTACCTTTCAAACCCTTACGTTCACTAGATGAATAGATTTCCTACATTCTATTTGAGTGAGACCACTTGATTCCGTGTACTATGTGAGATCTGAGCGCTTCCGTTCTCCCTGGCATTTGCATTTTAAGTTCCGATACTGACCGACCTGGCCAATGCACCATTTTCTCTATACATGTGCGTTGAATACATTTCAAACCTTTTTAGCTGACTAGATTTATATATTTCCCACCTTCTGATCGATTGAGACCGCTGGATTCCCTCTACTTTTTGAGAAATGAGCGTTTCCGTACTCCTTGGCCCTAGTTGCACTAAAAGTGCGAAATGCTGGCCAGACTGGCCGATGCACCATTTTCTCTACACATGTGCGTTAGTTACCTTTCAAACCCTTACGTTCACTAGATGAATATATTTCCTACCTTCCATTTGAGTCAGACCACTAGATTCCGTGTACTATGCGAGATCTGAGCGGTTCCGTTCTCCCAGGCATTTGCACTCTAAGTTCCCATACTGACCGACCTGGCCAATGCACCACTTTCCATATACATATGCATAAGATTCCTTCCGAACCTTATTAGCTCACTAGATTTATATATTTCCCACCTTCTGATAAAGTCAGACCGCTAGATTCCCTTTACTTTTTGAGAAATGAGTGTTTTTGTTTTCCTTGGCCCTACTTGCACTATAAGTGCGAAATGCCGGCTAGACTGGCCGATGCACCATTTTCTCTACACATGTGCGTTAGTTACCTTTCAAACCCTTACGTGGACGTGTACGTGGACGTGGACGTGGACAAGGACGTGGACGTGTACGTGGACGTGGACGTGGATAAGGACGTGGACATGGACATGGACGTGGACGTGGACGTGGACGTGGAGGACTTGGACGTGGACGTGGACGTGGACGTGGACGACTTGGACGTGGACATGGACGTGGACATAGACGTGGACATAGACGTGGACGTGGACGTAGACATGGACGTAGACGTGGACGTGGACGTAGACGAGGACGTGGACGTGGACGTGGACGTTGACGTGGACGTGGACGTGGTCGTGGACGTGGACGTGGACATGAAGGTGGACGTGGACGTGGACATGGACGTGGACGTGGACGTGGACGTGGACATGGACGTGGACGTGGACGTGGACGTGGACATGGTCCTGGACGTGGACATGGACGTGGACGTGGAGATGGACGTGGACGTGGACGTGGACGTGGACGTGGACATGGACATGGACGTGGACGTGACGTGGACGTGAACATGGACGTGGACGTGGACATGGACGTGGACGTGGACGTGGACATGGACGAAGACATGGTCGTGGACGTGGACGTGGACGTGGTCATGGACGTGGACGTGGACGTGGAGGAACGTGGACGTGGACGTGGACGTGGACATGGACGTGGGCGTAGACGTGGACGTGGACGTGGACATGGACGTGGACATGGACGTCGACGTGGACGTGGACGTGGATGAAGACTTGGTCGTGGACGTGGACGTGGACGTGGACATGGACGTGGACATGGAGGTGGACTTGGACGTGGACGTGGACGTGGACGTGGACGTGGACTTGGACGTGGACGTGGACGTGGACGTGGACGTGGACATGGACGTGGACGTGGACATGGACATGGACGTGGACGTGGTCGTGGACGTGGACATGGTCGTGGACATGGACGTGAACGTGGACATGGACGTGGACGTGGACATGGACGTGGTCGTGGACGTGGACGTGGACGTGGACATGGTCGTGGACGTGGATGTGGACGTGGACGTGGACATGGACGTGGACGTGGACGTGGACATGGACGTGGACGTGGACGTGGATGTGGACGTGGACGTGGACGTGGACGTGGATATGGACGACGTGGATATGGACGTGGACGTGGACGTGGACGTGGACGTGGACATGGACGTGGACGTGGACATGGACGTGGACATGGACGTGGACATGGACGTGGGAAGGGGATGGGGGGAAGTAGGGAAGGGGATGGGGGGAAGTAGGGAAGGGGATGGGGGGAAGCAGGGCAGGGGATACGGGGTAAGAGGGGATAGGATAGGGGGAAGCACGGCTAGGGATACGAGGATGGGGGAAACGTGGGCAGATGCCGGGGAGAGAGCTGGGGGGAGGATTGTGGGGAGCAGAGAGGGAATCAAAACGCTGTTCGATTGTGGTGGCGGAAGCGACCACCTCTGTTTCTCCCCATCTGTTCCTCCCCATCGGTCCCACCCCTTCGGAAGGAATGAGGGAGGAAGGATGGGCTGGAGCTAGTGAGATGGGGAGAGGGGAAGAGCGGATGGAAACGCGGAGGTGGACATGGACGTGGACATGGACGTGGACGTGGACGTGGACGTGGACATGGACGTGGACTTGGACATGGACGTGGATGTAGACGTGGACGTGGACGTGGACGTGGACGTGGACGTGGACATGGACGTAGACGTGGACGTCGACGTTGACGTGGACATGGACGTGGACGTGGACGTGGACGTGGACATGGAGGAGTTGGACGTGGACATGGACGTGGACGTGGACATGGACGTGGAAGTGAACGTGGACGTGGACAAGGATAACTTGGACGTGGACATGGACGTGAACGTGGACGTGGACATGGACGTGGAGCACTTGGACGTGGACATGGACGTGGACGTGGACGTGGACATGGACGTGGGCGTGGACATGGAGGTGGACGTGGACGTGGACGTGGACATGGACGTGGACGTGGACGTGGACGTGGACATGGTCGTGGACATGGACGTGAACATGGACATGGACGTGGACGTGGACGTGGACGTGGACGTGGACGTGGACATGGTCGTGGACGTGGACATGGACGTGGACGTGGACGTGGACGTGGACGTGGACGTGGATGTGACGTGGACGTGGACGTGGACGTGGACGTGGACGTGGACGTGGACGTGGACCGGGTCGTGGACATGTACGTAGACGTGGACGTGGACGTGGACTTGGACGTGGACGTGGACATAGACTAGGACATGGACGTGGACGTGGACGTGAACGTGGACGTGGACATGGACATGGACGTGGACGTGACGTGGACGTGGACGTGGACCTGGTCGTGGACATGGACGTGGACGTGGACGTGGACGTGGACGTGGACTAGGACGTGGACGTGGACATAGACGTGGACGTGGACGTGGACGTGGACGTGGACCTGGACGTGGACGTGCTTGGACGTGGACGTGGACGTGGACGTGGACGTGGACGGACGTGGACGTGGACGTGGACGTGGACATAGACGTGGACGTGGACGTGGACGTGGACGGACGTGGATGTGGACGTGGACGTGGACATAGACGTGGACGTGGACGTGGACGTGGACGTGGACATGGACGTGGATATGGACGTGGACGTGGACGTGGGAGTGGACATGGAGTGGACGTGGACGTGGACGTAGACGTGGACGTGGACGTGGATGTGGACGTGGACGTGGACGTGGACGTGGAGGTGGACGTAGAGGTGGACGTGGACGTGGACGTGGACGTGGAGGTGGACGTGGATGTGGACCTGCACGTAGACGTGGACGTGGAGAACTTGGACGTGGACGTGGAGGTGGACATGGACGTGGACGTGGAGGTGGACGTGGACGTGGAGTGGACGTGGACGTGGAGTGGACGTGGACGTGGAGTGGACGTGGTCGTAAACGTGGACGTGGACGTGGAGGTGGACGTGGAGGTGGACGTGGACGTGGACGTGGACGTGGACGTGGACCTGGACGTGGACGTGGACATGGACGTGGACGTGGACGTGGAGAACTTGGACGTGGACGTGGACGTGGACATGGACGTGGAGGTGGAGGTGGACGTGGACGTGGACGTGGACGTGGACGTGGACATGGACGTGGACATGGACGTGGACGTAGACGTGGAGTGGTCGTGGACGTGGACGTGGACGTGGACGTGGACATGGACGTGGAGGTGGACGTGGACGTGGACGTGGACTGGACGTGGACGTGGACGTGGACTGGACGTGGGGGACTTGGACGTGGACGTGGACGTGGAGGACTTGGACGTGGACGTGGATGTGGAGGACTTGGGCATGGAAATGGACGTGGACGTGGAGTGGACGTGGACGTGGACGTTGACGTGGACGTGGACGTGGACGTGGACGTGACGTGGACGTGGACGTGACGTGGACGTGGACATGGACGTGGACATAGACGTGGACGTGGACGTGGACGTGGACGTGGACATGGACATGGACGTGGACGTGGACGTGGACGTGGAGATGGACGTGGACGTGGACATGGACGTGGACGTGGACGTGGAGATGGACGTGGACGTGGACGTGGACGTGGACATGGACATGGACGTAGACGTCGACGTGGACGTGGAGGACGTGGACGTGGACGTGGACGTGGAGAACTTGGACGTGGACATGGACGTGAAAGTGGACGTGGACGTGGACGTGGAGGACTTGGACGTGGACATGGACGTGGACGTGGACGTGACGTGGACGCGGACGTGGACATGGACGTGGACGTGGATGTGGACGTGGACATGGACGTGGACGTGGACGTGGACGTGGACATGGTCGTGGACGTGGACATGGACGTGGTCGTAGACGTGGAGATGGACGTGGACGTGGATGTGGACGTGGACATGGACATGGACGTAGACGTGGACGTGGACGTGGACGTGGAGGACGTGGACGTGGACGTGGACGTGGAGAACTTGGACGTGGACATGGACGTGAACGTGGACGTGGACGTGGACGTGGAGGACTTGGACGTGGACATGGACGTGGACGTGGACGTGACGTGGACGTGGACGTGGACATGGACGTGGACGTGGATGTGGACGTGGACATGGACGTGGACGTGGACGTGGACGTGGACATGGACGTGGACGTGGACGTGGACGTGGACGTGGACGTGGACATGGACATGGACGTGGACATGGACGTGGACATGGACATGGACATGGACGTGGACGTGGACATGGCTTGGACATAGACGTGGACGTGGACGTGGACGTGGACGTGGACATGGACGTGGACGTGGACATGGTCGTGGACGTGGACGTGGACGTGGACGTGGACGTGGACGTGGACATGGACGTGGACGTGCACAAGACGTGGACGTGAACATGGACATGGACGTGGACATGGACGTGGACATGGACGTGGACGTGGACGTGGACATGGACGTGGACGTGGACATGGACGTGGACGTGGACGTGGACATGGACGTAGACATGGACATGGACGTATGGACGTGGACGTGGACGTGGAGGACTTGGACGTGGAGATGGACGTTGACGTGGACGTGGACGTGGACGTGGACATGGACGTGGACGTGGACATGGACGTAGACGTGGACGTGGACATGGACGTGGACATGTACGCGAACGTTGACGTGGAAGTGGACGTGGACGTGGAGAACTTGGGCGTGGACATGGACGTGGACATGGACGACTTGGACGTGGACATGGACGTGGATATAGACGTGGACATAGACGTGGACGTGGACGTAGACATGGACGTAGACTTGGACGTGGACGTAGACGTGGACGTGGACGTGGACGTGGACGTTGACGTGGACGTGGTCGTGGTCGTGGATGTGGACGTGGACGTGGACGTGGACATGGTCCTGGACGTGGACATGGACGTGGACGTGGAGATGGACGTGGACGTGGACGTGGACGTGCACGTGGACGTGGACATGGACATGGACGTGGACGTGACGTGGACGTGGACATGGACGTGGACGTGGACATGGACGTGGACGTGGACGTGGACGAAGACATGGTCGTAGACGTGGACGTGGACGTGGTCATGGACGTGGACGTTGACGTGGAGGAACGTGGACGTGGACGTGGACGTGGACGTGGACATGGACGTGGACATGGACGTGGACATGGACGTGGACGTGGATGAAGACTTGGTCGTGGACGTGGACGTGGACATGGACGTGGACGTGGATGTGGACTTGGACGTGGACGTGGACGTGGACGTGGACATGGACGTGGACGTGGACATGGACATGGACGTGGACGTGGTCGTGGACGTGGACATGGTCGTGGACATGGACGTGAACGTAGACATGGACGTGGACGTGGACATGGACGTGGTCGTGGACGTGGACGTGGACGTGGACATGGTCGTGGACGTGGACGTGGACATGGACGTGGACGTGGACGTGGACATGGACGTGGATATGGACGTGGACGTGGACGTGGGAGTGGACATGGAGTGGACGTGGACGTGGACGTAGACGTGGACGTGGACGTGGATGTGGACGTGGACGTGGACGTGGACGTGGAGGTGGACGTAGAGGTGGACGTGGACGTGGACGTGGACGTGGAGGTGGACGTGGATGTGGACCTGCACGTGGACGTGGACGTGGAGAACTTGGACGTGGACGTGGAGGTGGACATGGACGTGGACGTGGAGGTGGACGTGGACGTGGAGTGGACGTGGACGTGGAGTGGACGTGGACGTGGAGTGGACGTGGTCGTAAACGTGGACGTGGACGTGGAGGTGGACGTGGAGGTGGACGTGGACGTGGACGTGGACGTGGACGTGGACCTGGACGTGGACGTGGACATGGACGTGGACGTGGACGTGGAGAACGTGGACGTGGACGTGGAGAACTTGGACGTGGACGTGGACGTGGACGTGGACATGGACGTGGACGTAGACGTGGAGTGGTCGTGGACGTGGACGTGGACGTGGACGTGGACATGGACGTGGAGGTGGACGTGGACGTGGACGTGGACGTGGACTGGACGTGGACGTGGACGTGGACTGGACGTGGGGGACTTGGACGTGGACGTGGACGTGGAGGACTTGGACGTGGACGTGGATGTGGAGGACTTGGACATGGAAATGGACGTGGACGTGGAGTGGACGTGGACGTGGACGTTGACGTGGACGTGGACGTGGACGTGGACGTGACGTGGACGTGGACGTGACGTGGACGTGGACATGGACGTGGACATAGACGTGGACGTGGACGTGGACGTGGACGTGGACATGGACATGGACGTGGACGTGGACGTGGACGTGGAGATGGACGTGGACGTGGACATGGACGTGGACGTGGACGTGGAGATGGACGTGGACGTGGACGTGGACGTGGACATGGACATGGACGTAGACGTCGACGTGGACGTGGAGGACGTGGACGTGGACGTGGACGTGGAGAACTTGGACGTGGACATGGACGTGAAAGTGGACGTGGACGTGGACGTGGAGGACTTGGACGTGGACATGGACGTGGACGTGGACGTGACGTGGACGCGGACGTGGACATGGACGTGGATGTGGACGTGGACATGGACGTGGACGTGGACGTGGACGTGGACATGGTCGTGGACGTGGACATGGACGTGGTCGTAGACGTGGAGATGGACGTGGACGTGGACGTGGACGTGGACATGGACATGGACGTAGACGTGGACGTGGACGTGGACGTGGAGGACGTGGACGTGGACGTGGACGTGGAGAACTTGGACGTGGACATGGACGTGAACGTGGACGTGGACGTGGACGTGGAGGACTTGGACGTGGACATGGACGTGGACGTGGACGTGACGTGGACGTGGACGTGGACATGGACGTGGACGTGGATGTGGACGTGGACATGGACGTGGACGTGGACGTGGACGTGGACATGGACGTGGACGTGGACGTGGACGTGGACGTGGACATGGACATGGACGTGGACGTGGACGTGGACATGGACATGGACATGGACGTGGACGTGGACATGGCTTGGACATAGACGTGGACGTGGACGTGGACGTGGACGTGGACATGGACGTGGACGTGGACATGGTCGTGGACGTGGACGTGGACGTGGACGTGGACGTGGACGTGGACATGGACGTGGACGTGCACAAGACGTGGACGTGAACATGGACATGGACGTGGACATGGACGTGGACATGGACGTGGACGTGGACGTGGACATGGACGTGGACGTGGACATGGACGTGGACGTGGACGTGGACATGGACGTAGACATGGACATGGACGTATGGACGTGGACGTGGACGTGGAGGACTTGGACGTGGAGATGGACGTTGACGTGGACGTGGACGTGGACGTGGACATGGACGTGGACGTGGACATGGACGTAGACGTGGACGTGGACATGGACGTGGACATGTACGCGAACGTTGACGTGGAAGTGGACGTGGACGTGGAGAACTTGGACGTGGACATGGACGTGGACGTGGACGACTTGGACGTGGACATGGACGTGGATATAGACGTGGACATAGACGTGGACGTGGACGTAGACATGGACGTAGACTTGGACGTGGACGTAGACGTGGACGTGGACGTGGACGTGGACGTTGACGTGGACATGGTCGTGGTCGTGGATGTGGACGTGGACGTGGACGTGGACATGGTCCTGGACGTGGACATGGACGTGGACGTGGAGATGGACGTGGACGTGGACGTGGACGTGCACGTGGACGTGGACATGGACATGGACGTGGACGTGACGTGGACGTGGACATGGACGTGGACGTGGACATGGACGTGGACGTGGACGTGGACGAAGACATGGTCGTAGACGTGGACGTGGACGTGGTCATGGACGTGGACGTTGACGTGGAGGAACGTGGACGTGGACGTGGACGTGGACGTGGATATGGACGTGGGCGTAGACGTGGACGTGGACGTGGACATGGACGTGGACATGGACGTGGACATGGACGTGGACGTGGATGAAGACTTGGTCGTGGACGTGGACGTGGACATGGACGTGGACGTGGATGTGGACTTGGACGTGGACGTGGACGTGGACGTGGACATGGACGTGGACGTGGACATGGACATGGACGTGGACGTGGTCGTGGACGTGGACATGGTCGTGGACATGGACGTGAACGTAGACATGGACGTGGACGTGGACATGGACGTGGTCGTGGACGTGGACGTGGACGTGGACATGGTCGTGGACGTGGACGTGGACGTGGACATGGACGTGGACGTGGACGTGGACGTGGACATGGACGTGGACGTGGACATGGACGTGGACGTGGACGTGGACGTGGACGTGATGTGGACATGGACGTGGATATGGACGACGTGGATATGGACGTGGACGTGGACGTGGACGTGGACGTGGACGTGGACGTGGACATGGACGTGGACGTGGACATGGACGTGGACATGGACGTGGGAAGGGGATGGGGGGAAGTAGGGAAGGGGATGGGGGGAAGCAGGGAAGGGGATGGGGGGAAGCAGGGCAGGGGATACGGGGTAAGAGGGGATAGGATAGGGGGAAGCACGGCTAGGGATACGAGGATGGGGGGAACGTGGGCAGATGCCGGGGAGAGAGCTGGGGGGAGGATTGTGGGGAGCAGAGAGGGAATCAAAACGCTGTTCGATTGTGGTGGCGGAAGCGACCACCTCTGTTTCTCCCCATCTGTTCCTCCCCATCGGTCCCACCCCTTCGGAAGGAATGAGGGAGGAAGGATGGGCTGGAGCTAGTGAGATGGGGAGAGGGGAAGAGCGGATGGAAACGCGGAGGTGGACATGGACGTGGACATGGACGTGGACGTGGACGTGGACGTGGACATGGACGTGGACTTGGACATGGACGTGGATGTAGACGTGGACGTGGACATGGACGTGGACGTGGACGTGGACGTGGATGTGGACATGGACGTAGACGTGGACGTGGACGTTGACGTGGACATGGACGTGGACGTGGACGTGGACGTGGACGTGGAGGAGTTGGACGTGGACATGGACGTGGACGTGGACATGGACGTGGAAGTGGACGTGGACGTGGACGTGGAGAACTTGGACGTGGACATGGACGTGAATGTGGACGTGGACATGGACGTGGAGCACTTGGACGTGGACATGGACGTGGACGTGGACATGGACATGGACGTGGGCGTGGACATGGAGGTGGACGTGGACGTGGACGTGGACATGGACGTGGACGTGGACGTGGACATGGTCGTGGACATGGACATGAACATGGACATGGACGTGGACGTGGACGTAGACGTGGACGTGGACGTGGACATGGTCGTGGACGTGGACATGCACGTGGACGTGGACGTGGACGTGGACGTGGACGTGGACGTGACGTGGACGTGGACGTGGACGTGGACGTGGACCTGGTCGTGGACATGGACGTAGACGTGGACGTGGACGTGGACTTGGACGTGGACGTGGACGTGGACGTGGACATAGACTAGGACATGGACGTGGACGTGGACGTGAACGTGGACGTGGACATGGACATGGACGTGGACGTGACGTGGACGTGGACGTGTACCTGGTCGTGGACATGGACGTGGACGTGGACGTGGACGTGGACGTGGACTAGGACGTGGACGTGGACGTGGACGTGGACATTGACGTGGACGTGGACGTGGACGTGGACGTAGACGTGGACGTGGACGTGGACGTGGACATGGACGTCGACATAGACGTGGACGTGGACATGGACGTGGACGTGGACGTGGACATGGACGTGGACGTGGACTTGGACATGGACATGGACGTGGACGTGGACGTAGACGTGGACGTGGACGTGGACATGGACGTGGACGTGGACGTAGACATGGACGTGGACATGGACGTGGACGTGGAGGACTTGGACGTGGACATGGACGTGGACGTGGACGTGGACGTGGACGAAGACATGGTCGTGGACGTGGACGTGGACGTGGACGTGGACATGGACGTGGACGTGGACGTGGACGTGGACGTGGACATGGACGTGGACGTGGACGTGGACATGGACATGAACGTGGACGTGGACGTGGACGTGGACATGGTCGTGGACGTGGACGTGAACGTGGACGTGGACGTGGACGTGGTCGTGGACGTGGACGTGGACGTGGACATGGTCGTGGACGTGGACATGGACGTGGAGGACTTGGACGTGGACATGGACGTAGACGTGGACGTGGACATGGACGTGGACATGGACGTGGACGTGGACGAAGAGATGGTGGAGGACTTGGACGTGGACATGGACGTGAACGTGGACGTGGACGTGGACGAAGACGTGGTCGTGGACGTGGACGTGGACATGGACGTGGACGTGGACGTGGACGTGGACGTGGACGTGGACGTGGACATGTACGTGGACGTGGACGTGGACGTGGACGTGGACGTGGACGTGGACTGGACGTGGACGTGGACGTGGACGTGGACCTGGTCGTGGACGTGGACGTGAACGTGGACCTGGTCGTGGACGTGGACGTGAACGTGGACATGGACGTGGACGTGGTCGTGGACGTGGACGTGGACGTGGACATGGACGTGGACGTGGACGTGGACGTGGACGTGGACATGGACGTGGACGTGGACGTGGACATGGACATGAACGTGGACGTGGACGTGGACGTGGACATGGTCGTGGACGTGGACGTGAACGTGGACGTGGACGTGGACGTGGTCGTGGACGTGGACGTGGACGTGGACATGGTCGTGGACGTGGACATGGACGTGGAGGACTTGGACGTGGACATGGACGTAGACGTGGACGTGGACATGGACGTGGACATGGACGTGGACGTGGACGTGGAGGACTTGGACGTGGACATGGACGTGAACGTGGACGTGGACGTGGACGAAGACGTGGTCGTGGACGTGGACGTGGACATGGACGTGGACGTGGACGTGGACGTGGACGTGGACGTGGACGTGGACATGTACGTGGACGTGGACGTGGACGTGGACGTGGACGTGGACGTGGACTGGACGTGGACGTGGACGTGGACGTGGACCTGGTCGTGGACGTGGACGTGAACGTGGACCTGGTCGTGGACGTGGACGTGAACGTGGACATGGACGTGGACGTGGTCGTGGACGTGGACGTGGACGTGGACATGGACGTGGACGTGGACGTGGACGTGGAAATGGTCGTGGACGTGGACATGGACGTGGACGTGGACATGGACATGGACGTGGACGTGGACGTGGACGTGGACGTGGACGTGGACATGGACATGGACGTGGACGTGACGTGGACGTGGACGTGGACGTGGACGTAGACATGGACGTGGACGTGGACATGGACGTGGACATGGACGTGGACGTGGACGTGGACATGGACGTGGACGTGGACATGGACGTGGACATGGACATGGACGTGGACGTGGACGTGGACGTGGACGTGGACGTGGAACGTGGACGTGGACGTGGACGTGGACGTGGACGTGGAGGACTTGGACGTGGACATGGACGTGGACGTGGACGTGGACGTCGACGTGGACGTGGAGAACTTGGACGTGGACATGGACGTGAACGTGGACGTGGACGTGGACGTGGAGGACTTGGACGTGGACGTGGACGTAAACGTGGACGTGGACATGGACGTGGACGTGGACGTAGACATGGACGTGGACATGGACGTAGTCGTGGACATGGACGTGGACATGGACGTGGACATGGACGTGGTCGTGGACGTGGACATGGACGTGGACGTGGACGTGGACGTGGACATGGTCGTGGACATGGACGTGGACGTGGACGTGGACGTCGACGTGGACGTGGCGATGGACGTGGACAAGGACGTGGACATGGACGTGGACGTGGACGTGGAGGTGGACGTGACGAGGACGTGGACGACGTGGACGTGACGTTGACAAGGACGTGGACATGGACGTGGACGTGGACGTGGACATGGAGGTGGACGTGGACGTGGACGTGGACGTGACGTGGACGTGACGTGGACAAGGACGTGGACATGGACGTGGACGTGGACGTGGAGGTGGACGTGGAGGTGGACGTGACGTGGACGTGGACGTGGACGTGGATGTGACGTGGACCTGACGTGGACGTGGACGTGGACCTGACGTGGACGTGGACGTGGACGTGGACGTGGACGTGACGTGGACGTGGACGTGAACATGGACGTGGACGTGGACATGGACCTGGACATGGACGTGGACATGGACGTGGACATGGACGTGGACGTGGACGTGGACATGGACGTGGACGTGACGTGGACGTGGACGTGGACGTGGACGTGGACGTGGACGCGGACGCGGACGTGGACGCGGACGAGGACGCGGACATGGACGTGGACGTGGACATGGACGTGGATGTGGACGTAAGGGTTTGAAAGGTAACTAACGCACATGTGTAGAGAAAATTGTGCATCGGCCAGTCTGGCCGGCATTTCGCACTTATAGTGCAAGTAGGGCCAAGGAGAACAGAAACGCTCATTTCTCAAAAAGTAAAAGGAATCTAGCGATCTCACTCGATCAAAAGGTGGGAAATATATAAATCTAGTGAGCTAATAAGGTTCGAAAGGAATCTAATGCATATGTATATGGAAAATGGTGCATTGGCCAGGTCGGTCAGTATGGGAACTTAGAGTGCAAATGCCAGGGAGAACGGAAGCGCTCAGATCTCGCATAGTACACGGAATCTAGTGGTCTCACTAAAATAGAACGTAGGAAATAAATTCATCTAGTGAACGTAAGGGTTTGAAAGGTAACTAACGCACATGTGTAGAGAAAATGGTGCATCGGCCAGTCTGGCCGGCATTTCGCACTTATGGTGCAAGTAGGGCCAAGGAGAACGGAAACGCTCATTTCTCAAAAAGTAAAGGGAATCTAGCGGTCTCACTCGATCAGAAGGTGGGAAATATATAAATCTAGTGAGCTAATAATGTTCGGAAGGAATCTAATGCATATGTATATGGAAAGTGGTGCATTGGCCAGGTCGGTCAGTATGGGAACTTAGAGTGCAAATGCCAGGGAGAACGGAAGCGCTCAGATCTCGCATAGTACACGGAATCTAGTGGTCTCACTCAAATAGAAGGTAGGAAATAAATTCATCTAGTGAACGTAATGGTTTGAAAGGTAACTAACGCACATGTGTAGAGAAAATGGTGCATCGGCCAGTCTGGCCGGCATTTCGCACTCCTAGTGCAAGTAGGGCCAAGGAGAACGGAAACAATCATTTCTCACAAAGTAAAGAAAATCTAGCCGTCTCACTCGATCGAAAGGTGGGAAATATATAGATCTAGTGAGCTAATAAGGTTCGAAAGGAATCTAATGCATATGTATATGGAAAATGGTGCATTGGCCAGGTCGGTCTGTATGGGAACTTAGAGTGCAAATGCCAGGGAGAACGGAAGCGCTCAGATCTGGCATAGTACACGGAATCTAGAGGTCTCACTCAAATAGAAGGTAGGAAATAAATTCATCTAGTGAACGTAAGGGTTTGAAATGTAACTAACGCACATGTGTAAAGAAAATGGTGCATCGGCCAGTCTGGCCAGCATTTCGCACTTATAGTGCAGGTGGGGCCAGGGAGAACGAAAATGCTCGTTTCTCAAAAAGTAGAGGGAATCTAACGGACTCACTCAATCAGAAGGTGGGAAATATATAAATCTAGTCAGCTAAAAAGGTTTGAAATGTATTCAACGCACAGGTATAGAGAAAATGGTGCATTGGCCAGGTCGGTTAGTATCGGAACTTAAAATGCAAATGCCAGGGAGAACGGAAGCGCTCAGATCTCGCATAGTACACGGAATCAAGTGGTCTCACTCAAGTAGAAAGTAGAAAATATATTCATCTAGTGAACGTAAGGGTTTGAAAGGTAACTAACGCACATGTGTAGAGAAAATTGTGCATCGGCCAGTCTGGCCGGCATTTCGCACTTATAGTGCAACTAGGGCCAAGGAGAACGGAAACGCTCATTTCTCAAAAAGTAGAGGGAATCTAGCGGTCTCACTCGATCAGAAGGTGGGAAATATATAAATCTAGTGAGCTAATAAGGTTCGAAAGGAATCTAATGCATATGTATATGGAAAATGGTGCATTGGCCAGGTCGGTCAGTATGGGAACTTAGAGTGCAAATGCCAGGGAGAACGGAAGCGCTCAGATCTCGCATAGTACACGGAATCTAGTGGTCTCACTCAAATAGAAGGTAGGAAATAAATTCATCTAGTGAACGTAAGGGTTTGAAAGGTAACTAACGCACATGTGTAGAGAAAATGGTGCATCTGCCAGTCTGGCCGGCATTTCGCACTTATAGTGCAAGTAGGGCCAAGGAGAACGGAAACGCTCATTTGACAAAAAGTAAAGGGAATCTAGCGGTCTCACTCGATCAGAAGGTGGGAAATATATAAATCTAGTGAGATAATAAGGTTCTGAAGGAATCTAATGCATATGTATATGGAAAGTGGTGCATTGGCCAGGTCGGTCAGTATGGGAACTTAGAGTGCAAATGCCTGGGAGAACAGAACCGCTCAAATCTCGCATAATACACGGAATCTAGTGGTCTCACTCAAATATAAGGTAGGAAATATATTCATCTAGTGAATGTAAGGGTTTGAAAGGTAACTAACCCACATGTGTAGAGAAAATTGTGCAAATGCCAGGGAGAACGGAAGCGCTCAGATCTCGCATAGTACACGGAATCAAGTGGTCTCACCCAAATAGAAAGTAGGAAATATATTCATCTAGTGAACATAAGGGTTTGAAAGGTAACTAACGAACATGTGTAGAGAAAATTGTGCGTCGGCCCGTCTGGCCGGCATTTTGCACTTTTAGTGCAACTAGGGCCAAGGAGAACGGAAACGCTCATTTCTCAAAACGTAGAGGGAATCTAGCGGTCTCACTCGATCAGAAGGTGGGAAATATATAAATCTAGTGAGCTAATAAGGTTCGAAAGGAATCTAATGCATATGTATATGGAAAATGGTGCATTGGCCAGGTCGGTCAGTATGGGAACTTAGAGTGCAAATGACATGGACGTGGTCGTGGACGTGGACGTGGACATGGATATGGATATAGACGTGGACATGGACGTGGACGTGGACATGGACGTTGACGTGGACGTGGACATGGACGTGGACGTTGACGTGGACGTTGACGTGGACGTGGACGTGAACATGGACGTTGACGTGGACGTGGACGTGGACGTGGACGTGGACATGGACGTGGACGTGGACGTGGACGTGGACATGGACGTAGACGTGGACGTGGACGTGGACGTGGAATTGGATGTGGACGTGGACGTGGACGTGGACATGGAATTGGACGTGAACGTGGACGTGGACGAAGACTTGGACGTGGACGTGGACGTGGACGAAGACGTGGACGTGGACGTGGACGTGGACATGGACGTAGACATGGACGTGGACGTGGACATGGAGGAACGTGGACCTGGTCGTGGACGTGGACATGGACGTGGACGTAGACTTGGACGTGGACGAGGACGTGGACGTGGACGTGGACGTTGACGTGGACGTGGACCTGGTCGTGGACGCGGACATGGATGTGGACGTGGACATGGACGTGGACGTGGACGTGGACGTGGTTTTGGACGCGGACGTGGACGTGGACATGGACATGGACGTAGACATGGTCGTGGACGTGGACATGGACATGGACGTGGACGTGGACGTGGACGTAGACGTGGATGTGTACGTGGACGTGGACGTGTACGTGGATGTGGACGTGGACGTGTACGTGTTCATCCACGTCCTCATCCACGTCCATGTTTACGTCCACGTCCATGTCCACGTCCATGTCCATGTCCATGTCCACGTCCACGTCCACGTCCACGTCCATGTCATTTGCACTCTAAGTTCCCATACTGACCGACCTGGCCAATGCACCATTTTCCATATACATATGTATTAGATTCCTTTCGAACCTTATTAGCTCACTAGATTTATATATTTCCCACCTTCTAATCGAGTGAGACCGCTAGATTCCCTCTACTTTTTGAGAAATGAGTGTTTCCGTTCTCCTTGGCCCTAGTTGCACTATAAGTGCGAAATGCCGGCCAGACTGGCCGATGCACAATTTTCTCTACACATGTGCGTTAGTTACCTTTCAAACCCTTACGTTCACTAGATGAATAGATTTCCTACATTCTATTTGAGTGAGACCACTTGATTCCGTGTACTATGTGAGATCTGAGCGCTTCCGTTCTCCCTGGCATTTGCATTTTAAGTTCCGATACTGACCGACCTGGCCAATGCACCATTTTCTCTATACATGTGCGTTGAATACATTTCAAACTTTTTTAGCTGACTAGATTTATATATTTCCCACCTTCTCATAGAGTGAGACCGTTAGATTCTCTCTACTTTTTGAGAAACGAGCGTTTCCGTTCTCCCTGGCCCCACCTGCACTATGAGTGCGAAATGCCGGCCAGACTGGCCAATGCACCATTTTCTATACACATGTGCGTTAGTTACCTTTCAAACTCTTACGTTCACTAGATGAATATATTTCCTACCTTATATTTGAGTGAGACCACTAGATTCCGTGTATTATGCGAGATCTGAGCGGTTCCGTTCTCCGAGGCATTTGCACTCTAAGTTCCCACACTGACCGACCTGGCCAATGCACCACTTTCCATATACATATGCATTAGATTCCTTCCGAACCTTATTAGCTCACTAGATTTATATATTTCCCACCTTCTGATCGAGTGAGACCGCTAGATTCCCTTTACTTTTTGAGAAATGAGCGTTTCCGTTCTCCTTGGCCCTACTTGCACTATAAGTGCGAAATGCCGGCCAGACTGGCCGATGCTCCATTTTCTCTACACATGTGCGTTAGTTACCTTTCAAACCCTTACGTTCACTAGATGAATTTATTTCCTACCTTCTATTTGAGTGAGACCACTAGATTCCGTGTACTATGCGAGATCTGAGCGCTTATGTTCTCCCTGGCATTTGCACTCTAAGTTCCCATACTGACCAACCTGGCCAATGCACCATTTTCCATACACATATGCATTAGATTCCTTTCAAACCTTATTAGCTCATTAGATTTATATATTTCCCACCTTCTGATCGAGTGAGACCGCTAGATTCCCTCTACTTTTTGAGAAATGAGCGTTTCTGTTCTCCTTGGCCCTACTTGCACTATAAGTGCGAAATGCCGGCCAGACTGGCCGATGCGCAATTTTCTCTACACATGTGCGTTAGTTACCTTTCAAACCCTTACGTTCACTAGATGCATTTATTTCCTACCTTATATTTGAGTGAGACCACTAGATTCCATGTATTATGCGAGATCTGAGCGGTTCCGTTCTCCATGGCATTTGCACTCTAAGTTCCCATACTGACCGACCTGGCCAATGCACCACTTTCCATCTACATATGCATTAGATTCCTTCCGAACATTATTAGCTCACTAGATTTATATATTTCCCACCTTCTTATCGAGTGTGACCGCTATATTCCCTTTACTTTTTGAGAATTGAGCGTTTCCGTTCTCCTTGGCCCTAGTTGCACTAAAAGTGCCAAAATGCCGGCCAGACTGGCCGATGCACCATTTTCTCTACACATGTGCGTTAGTTACCTTTCAAACCCTTATGTTCACTAGATGAATTTATTTCCTACATTCTATTTGAGTGAGACTACTAGATTCCGTGTACTATGCGAGATCTGAGCGCTTCCGTTCTCCCTGGCATTTGCACTCTAAGTTCCCATACTGACCGACCTGGCCAATGCACCATTTTCCATATACATATGCATTAGATTCCTTTCGAACCTTATTAGCTCACTATAATTATATATTTCCCACCTTCTGATCGATTGAGACCGCTGGATTCCCTCTACTTTTTGAGAAATGAGCGTTTCCGTACTCCTTGGCCCTAGTTGCACTAAAAGTGCGAAATGCTGGCCAGACTGGCCGATGCACCATTATCTCTACACATGTGCGTTAGTTACCTTTCAAACCCTTACGTTCATTAGATGAATATATTTCCTACCTTCTATTTGAGTGAGACCACTAGATTCCGTGTACTATGCGAGATCTGAGCGCTTCCGTTCTCCCAGGCATTTGCACTCTAAGTTCCCATACTGACCGACCTGGCCAATGCACCACTTTCCATATACATATGCATAAGATTCCTTCCGAACCTTATTAGCTCACTAGATTTATATATTTCCCACCTTCTGATAAAGTCAGACCGCTAGATTCCCTTTACTTTTTGAGAAATGAGTGTTTTTGTTTTCCTTGGCCCTACTTGCACTATAAGTGCGAAATGCCGGCCAGACTGGCCGATGCACCATTTTCTCTACACATGTGCGTTAGTTACCTTTCAAACCCTTACGTGGACGTGGACGTGGACGTGGACAAGGACGTGGACGTGTACGTGGACGTGGACGTGGATAAGGACGTGGACATGGACATGGACGTGGACGTGGACGTGGACGTGGAGGACTTGGACGTGGACGTGGACGTGGACGTGGACGACTTGGACGTGGACATGGACGTGGACATAGACGTGGACATAGACGTGGACGTGGACGTAGACATGGACGTAGACGTGGACGTGGACGTAGACGAGGACGTGGACGTGGACGTGGACGTTGACGTGGACGTGGACGTGGTCGTGGACGTGGACGTGGACATGAAGGTGGACGTGGACGTGGACATGGACGTGGACGTGGACGTGGACGTGGACATGGACGTGGACGTGGACGTGGACATGGTCCTGGACGTGGACATGGAGATGGACGTGGAGATGGACGTGGACATGGACGTGGACGTGGAGATGGACGTGGACGTGGACGTGGACATGGACATGGACGTGGACGTGACGTGGACGTGAACATGGACGTGGACGTGGACATGGACGTGGACGTGGACGTGGACGAAGACATGGTCGTGGACGTGGACGTGGACGTGGTCATGGACGTGGACGTGGACGTGGAGGAACGTGGACGTGGACGTGGACGTGGACGTGGACATGGACGTGGGCGTAGACGTGGACGTGGACGTGGACATGGACGTGGACATGGACGTGGACGTGGACGTGGATGAAGACTTGGTCGTGGACGTGGACGTGGACGTGGACATGGACGTGGACATGGATGTGGACTTGGACGTGGACGTGGACGTGGACGTGGACGTGGACTTGGACGTGGACGTGGACGTGGACGTGGACATGGACGTGGACGTGGACATGGACATGGACGTGGACGTGGTCGTGGACGTGGACATGGTCGTGGACATGGACGTGAACGTGGACATGGACGTGGACGTGGACATGGACGTGGTGGTGGACGTGGACTTGGACGTGGACATGGTCGTGGACGTGGATGTGGACGTGGACGTGGACTTGGACGTGGACGTGGACATGGACGTGGACGTGGACGTGGATGTGGACGTGGACGTGGACGTGGACGTGGATATGGACGACGTGGATATGGACGTGGACGTGGACGTGGACGTGGACGTGGACATGGACGTGGACGTGGACATGGACGTGGACATGGACGTGGACATGGACGTGGGAAGGGGATGGGGGGAAGTAGGGAAGGGGATGGGGGGAAGTAGGGAAGGGGATGGGGGGAAGTAGGGAAGGGGATGGGGGGAAGCAGGGCAGGGGATACGGGGTAAGAGGGGATAGGATAGGGGGAAGCACGGCTAGGGATACGAGGATGGGGGAAACGTGGGCAGATGCCGGGGAGAGAGCTGGGGGGAGGATTGTGGGGAGCAGAGAGGGAATCAAAACGCTGTTCGATTGTGGTGGCGGAAGCGACCACCTCTGTTTCTCCCCATTTGTTCCTCCCCATCGGTCCCACCCCTTCGGAAGGAATGAGGGAGGAAGGATGGGCTGGAGCTAGTGAGATGGGGAGAGGGGAAGAGCGGATGGAAACGCGGAGGTGGACATGGACGTGGACATGGACGTGGACGTGGACGTGGACGTGGACATGGACGTGGACTTGGACATGGACGTGGATGTAGACGTGGACGTGGACGTGGACGTGGACGTGGACGTGGACATGGACGTAGACGTGGACGTCGACGTTGACGTGGACATGGACGTGGACGTGGACGTGGACGTGGACGTGGAGGAGTTGGACGTGGACATGGACGTGGACGTGGACATGGACGTGGAAGTGGACGTGGACGTGGACGTGGATAACTTGGACGTGGACATGGACGTGAACGTGGACGTGGACATGGACGTGGAGCACTTGGACGTGGACATGGACGTGGACGTGGACGTGGACATGGACGTGGGCGTGGACATGGAGGTGGACGTGGACGTGGACGTGGACATGGACGTGGACGTGGACGTGGACGTGGACGTGAACATGGTCGTGGACATGGACGTGAACATGGACATGGACGTGGACGTGGACGTGGACGTGGACGTGGACGTGGACGTGGACATGGTCGTGGACGTGGACATGGACGTGGACGTGGACGTGGACGTGACGTGGACGTGGACGTGGACGTGGACGTGGACGTGGACCTGGTCGTGGACATGGACGTAGACGTGGACGTGGACGTGGACTTGGACGTGGACGTGGACGTGGACATAGACTAGGACATGGACGTGGACGTGGACGTGAACGTGGACGTGGACATGGACATGGACGTGGACGTGACGTGGACGTGGACGTGGACCTGGTCGTGGACATGGACGTGGACGTGGACCTGGACGTGGACGTGGACTAGGACGTGGACGTGGACATAGACGTGGACGTGGACGTGGACGTGGACGTGGACGTGGACCTGGACGTGGACGTGGACGTGACGTGGACGTGGACGTGGACGTGGACGTGGACGTGGACGGACGTGGACGTGGACGTGGACGTGGACATAGACGTGGACGTGGACGTGGACGTGGACGTGGACGGACGTGGATGTGGATGTGGACGTGGACATAGACGTGGACGTGGACGTGGACGTGGACGTGGACATGGACGTGGATATGGACGTGGACGTGGACGTGGGAGTGGACATGGAGTGGACGTGGACGTGGACGTGGACGTGGACGTGGACGTGGATGTGGACGTGGACGTGGACGTGGACGTGGAGGTGGACGTGGAGGTGGACGTGGACGTGGATGTGGACGTGGAGGTGGACGTGGATGTGGACCTGCACGTGGACGTGGACGTGGAGAACTTGGACGTGGACGTGGAGGTGGACATGGACGTGGACGTGGAGGTGGACGTGGACGTGGAGTGGACGTGGACGTGGAGTGGACGTGGACGTGGAGTGGACGTGGACGTAAACGTGGACGTGGACGTGGAGGTGGACGTGGAGGTGGAGGTGGACGTGGACGTGGACGTGGACGTGGACCTGCACGTGGACGTGGACATGGACGTGGACGTGGACGTGGAGAACTTGGACGTGGACGTGGACGTGGACATGGACGTGGAGGTGGAGGTGGACGTGGACGTGGACGTGGACGTGGACGTGGACGTGGACATGGACGTGGACATGGACGTGGACGTAGACGTGGAGTGGTCGTGGATGTGGACATGGAGGTGGACGTGGACATGGACGTGGAGGTGGACGTGGACGTGGACGTGGACGTGGACGTGGACTGGACGTGGACGTGGACGTGGACTGGACGTGGGGGACTTGGACGTGGACGTGGACGTGGAGGACTTGGACGTGGACGTGGACGTGGAGGACTTGGACATGGAAATGGACGTGGACGTGGAGTGGACGTGGACGTGGACGTTGACGTGGACGTGGACGTGGACGTGGACGTGACGTGGACGTGGACGTGGACGTGACGTGGACGTGGACGTGGACATAGACGTGGACGTGGACGTGGACGTGGACATGGACATGGACGTGGACGTGGACGTGGACGTGGAGATGGACGTGGACGTGGACATGGACGTGGACGTGGACGTGGAGATGGACGTGGACGTGGACGTGGACGTGGACATGGACATGGACGTGGACGTCGACGTGGACGTGGAGGACGTGGACGTGGACGTGGACGTGGAGAACTTGGACGTGGACATGGACGTGAAAGTGGACGTGGACGTGGACGTGGAGGACTTGGACGTGGACATGGACGCGGACGTGGACGTGACGTGGACGCGGACGTCGACATGGACGTGGACGTAGATGTGGACGTGGACATGGACGTAGACGTGGACGTGGACGTGGACATGGTCGTGGACGTGGACATGGACGTGGTCGTAGACGTGGAGATGGACGTGGACGTGGACGTGGACGTGGACATGGACATGGACGTAGACGTGGACGTGGACGTGGACGTGGAGGACGTGGACGTGGACGTGGACGTGGACGTGGAGAACTTGGACGTGGACATGGACGTGAACGTGGACGTGGACGTGGACGTGGAGGACTTGGACGTGGACATGGACGTGGACGTGGACGTGACGTGGACGTGGACGTGGACATGGACGTGGACGTGGATGTGGACGTGGACATGGACGTGGACGTGGACGTGGACGTGGACATGGACGTGGACGTGGACGTGGACGTGGACGTGGACATGGACATGGACGTGGACGTGGACGTGGACATGGACATGGACATGGACGTGGACGTGGACATGGCTTGGACATAGACGTGGACGTGGACGTGGACGTGGACGTGGACATGGACGTGGACGTGGACATGGTCGTGGACGTGGACGTGGACGTGGACGTGGACATGGACGTGGACGTGCACAAGACGTGGACGTGAACATGGACGTGGACATGGACGTGGACATGGACGTGGACATGGACGTGGACGTGGACGTGGACATGGACGTGGACGTGGACATGGACGTGGACGTGGACGTGGACATGGACGTAGACATGGACATGGACGTATGGACGTGGACGTGGACGTGGAGGACTTGGACGTGGAGATGGACGTTGACGTGGACGTGGACGTGGACGTGGACATGGACGTGGACGTGGACATGGACGTAGACGTAGACGTGGACATGGACGTGGACATGTACGCGAACGTCGACGTGGAAGTGGACGTGGACGTGGAGAACTTGGACGTGGACATGGACGTGGACGTGGACGACTTGGACGTGGACATGGACGTGGACATAGACGTGGACATAGACGTGGACGTGGACGTAGACATGGACGTAGACTTGGACGTGGACGTAGACGTGGACGTAGACGTGGACGTGGACGTTGACGTGGACGTGGTCGTGGTCGTGGATGTGGACGTGGACGTGGACGTGGACATGAAGGTGGACGTGGACGTGGACATGGACGTGGACATGGACGTGGACATGGACGTGGACGTGGACGTGGACGTGGACATGGTCCTGGACGTGGACATGGACGTGGACGTGGAGATGGACGTGGACGTGGACGTGGACGTGCACGTGGACGTGGACATGGACATGGACGTGGACGTGACGTAGACGTGGACATGGACGTGGACGTGGACATGGACGTGGACGTGGACGTGGACGAAGACATGGTCGTGGACGTGGACGTGGACGTGGTCATGGACGTGGACGTTGACGTGGAGGAACGTGGACGTGGACGTGGACGTGGACGTGGATATGGACGTGGGCGTAGACGTGGACGTGGACATGGACATGGACGTGGACATGGATGAAGACTTGGTCGTGGACGTGGACGTGGACGTGGACATGGACGTGGACGTGGATGTGGACTTGGACGTGGACGTGGACGTGGACGTGGACATGGACGTGGACGTGGACATGGACATGGACGTGGACGTGGTCGTGGACGTGGACATGGTCGTGGACATGGACGTGAACGTGGACATGGACGTGGACGTGGACATGGACGTGGTCGTGGACGTGGACGTGGACGTGGACATGGTCGTGGACGTGGACGTGGACGTGGACATGGACGTGGACGTGGACGTGGACGTGGACATGGACGTGGACGTGGACATGGACGTGGACGTGGACGTGGACGTGACGTGGACATGGACGTGGATATGGACGACGTGGATATGGACGTGGACGTGGACGTGGACGTGGACGTGGACGTGGACATGGACGTGGACGTGGACATGGACGTGGACATGGACGTGGGAAGGGGATGGGGGGAAGTAGGGAAGGGGATGGGGGGAAGCAGGGAAGGGGATGGGGGGAAGCAGGGCAGGGGATACAGGGTAAGAGGGGATAGGATAGGGGGAAGCACGGCTAGGGATACGAGGATGGGGGGAACGTGGGCAGATGCCGGGGAGAGAGCTGGGGGGAGGATTGTGGGGAGCAGAGAGGGAATCAAAACGCTGTTCGATTGTGGTGGCGGAAGCGACCACCTCTGTTTCTCCCCATCTGTTCCTCCCCATCGGTCCCACCCCTTCGGAAGGAATGAGGGAGGAAGGATGGGCTGGAGCTAGTGAGATGGGGAGAGGGGAAGAGCGGATGGAAACGCGGAGGTGGACATGGACGTGGACATGGACGTGGACGTGGACGTGGACGTGGACATGGACGTGGACTTGGACATGGACGTGGATGTAGACGTGGACGTGGACATGGACGTGGACGTGGACGTGGACGTGGACATGGACGTAGACGTGGACGTGGACGTTGACGTGGACATGGACGTGGACGTGGACGTGGACGTGGACGTGGAGGAGTTGGACGTGGACATGGACGTGGACGTGGACATGGACGTGGAAGTGGATGTGGACGTGGACGTGGAGAACTTGGACGTGGACATGGACGTGAACGTGGACGTGGACATGGACGTGGAGCACTTGGACGTGGACATGGACGTGGACGTGGACATGGACATGGACGTGGGCGTGGACATGGAGGTGGACGTGGACGTGGACGTGGACATGGACGTGGACGTGGACGTGGACGTGGACGTGGACGTGGACATGGTCGTGGACATGGACATGAACATGGACATGGACGTGGACGTGGACGTGGACGTGGACGTGGACATGGTCGTGGACGTGGACATGCACGTGGACGTGGACGTGGACGTGGACGTGACGTGGACATGGACGTGGACGTGGACGTGGACGTGGACGTGGAGGAGTTGGACGTGGACATGGACGTGGACGTGGACATGGACGTGGAAGTGGACGTGGACGTGGACGTGGAGAACTTGGACGTGGACATGGACGTGAACGTGGACGTGGACATGGACGTGGAGCACTTGGACGTGGACATGGACGTGGACGTGGACATGGACATGGACGTGGGCGTGGACATGGAGGTGGACGTGGACGTGGACGTGGACATGGACGTGGACGTGGACGTGGACGTGGACGTGGACGTGGACATGGTCGTGGACATGGACATGAACATGGACATGGACGTGGACGTGGACGTGGACGTGGACGTGGACGTGGACGTGGACATGGTCGTGGACGTGGACATGCACGTGGACGTGGACGTGGACGTGGACGTGGACGTGACGTGGACGTGGACGTGGACGTGGACGTGGACCTGGTCGTGGACATGGACGTAGACGTGGACGTGGACGTGGACTTGGACGTGGACGTGGACGTGGACGTGGACATAGACTAGGACATGGACGTTGACGTGGACGTGAACGTGGACGTGGACATGGACATGGACGTGGACGTGACGTGGACGTGGACGTGGACCTGGTCGTGGACATGGACGTGGACGTGGACGTGGACGTGGACGTGGACGTGGACTAGGACGTGGACATGGACGTGGACGTGGACATTGACGTGGACGTGGACGTGGACGTGGACATAGACGTGGACGTGGACGTGGACGTGGACCTGGACGTGGACGTGGACGTGACGTGGACGTGGACGTGGACGTGGACGTGGACGTGGACGGACGTGGAGGTGGACGTGGACGTGGACATAGACGTGGACGTGGACGTGGACGTGGACGTGGACAGACGTGGACGTGGACGTGGACGTGGACATAGACGTGGACGTGGACGTGGACATGGACGTGGATATGGACGTGGACGTGGACGTGGGAGTGGACGTGGAGTGGACGTGGACGTGGACGTCGACGTGACGTGGACGTGGACGTGGACGTGGACGTGGACGTGGACGTGACGTGGACGTGGACGTGGACGTGGACATAGACGTGGACGTGGACATGGAGGTGGACGTGGACGTGGACATGGACGTGGACGTGGACGTGGAGAACATGGACGTGGACGTGGAGGTGGACGTAGACATGGACGTGGAGGTGGACGTGGACGTGGACGTGGACGTGGACGTGGACGTGGACGTGGACATGGACGTGGACGTGGACGTGGACGTGGACGTGGACGTGGACGGACGTGGACGTGACGTGGACGTGAACGTGGACGTGGACATGGACATGGACGTGGACGTGACGTGGACGTGGACGTGGTCGTGGACATGGACGTGGACGTGACGTGGACGTGGACGTGGATGTGGACGTGGACGTGGACGGACGTGGACTTGGACGTGGACGTGGACATAGACGTGGACGTGGACGTGGACGTGGACGGACGTGGACGTGGACGTGGACGTGGACATAAACGTGGACGTGGACGTGGACGTGGACGGACGTGGACGTGGACGTGGACGTGGACATAGACGTGGACGTGGACGTGTACGTGGACGTGTACGTGGACGTGGACATGGACGTGGATATGGACGTGGACGTGGACGTGGGAGTGGACGTGGAGTGGACGTGGACGTGGACGTGGACGTGGACGTGGACGTGGATGTGGACGTGGACGTGGACGGAGACGTGGAGGTGGACGTGGATGTGGACGTGGACGTGGACGTGGACGTGGAGGTGGACGTGGACGTGGACCTGGACGTGGACGTGGACGTGGAGAACGTGGACGTGGACGTGGAGGTGGACGTGGACGTGGACGTGGAGGTGGACGTGGACGTGGAGTGGACGTGGACGTGGAGTGGACGTGGACGTGGAGTGGACGTGGACGTGGACGTGGACGTGCAGTTGGACGTGGAGGTGGACGTGGACGTGGACGTGGATGTGGACATGGAGGTGGACGTGGACGTGGACATGGACGTGGACGTGGACGTGGAGAACGTGGACGTGGACGTGGAGGTGGACGTAGACGTGGACGTGGAGGTGGACGTGGACGTGGACGTGGACGTGGACGTGGACGTGGACATGGACGTGGACGTAGACGTGGAGTGGTCGTGGACGTGGACGTGGACGTGGACATGGACGTGGAGGTGGACGTGGACGTGGACGTGGACGTGGACGTGGACTGGACGTGGACGTGGACGTGGACTGGACGTGGAGGACATGGACGGGGACGTGGACGTGGAGGACTTGGACGTGGACGTGGATGTGGAGGACTTGGACGTGGAAATGGACGTGGACGTGGAGTGGACGTGGACGTGGACGTGGACGTGGATGTGGACGTGGACGTGGACGTGGACGTGGAGGTGGACGTGGATGTGGACGTGGACGTGGACGTGGACGTGGACGTGGAGGTGGACGTGGACGTGGACCTGGACGTGGACGTGGACGTGGAGAACGTGGACGTGGACGTGGAGGTGGACGTGGACGTGGACGTGGAGGTGGACGTGGACGTGGAGTGGACGTGGACGTGGAGTGGACGTGGACGTGGACGTGGAGTGGACGTGGACGTGGACGTGGACGTGCAGTTGGACGTGGAGGTGGACGTGGACGTGGACGTGGATGTGGACGTGGAGGTGGACGTGGACGTGGACATGGACGTGGACGTGGACGTGGAGAACGTGGACGTGGACGTGGAGGTGGACGTAGACGTGGACGTGGAGGTGGACGTGGACGTGGACGTGGACGTGGACGTGGACGTGGACATGGACGTGGACGTAGACGTGGAGTGGTCGTGGACGTGGACGTGGACGTGGACATGGACGTGGAGGTGGACGTGGACGTGGACGTGGACGTGGACGTGGACTGGACGTGGACGTGGACGTGGACTGGACGTGGAGGACATGGACGGGGACGTGGACGTGGAGGACTTGGACGTGGACGTGGATGTGGAGGACTTGGACGTGGAAATGGACGTGGACGTGGAGTGGACGTGGACGTGGACGTTGACGTGGACGTGGACGTGGACGTGGACGTGACGTGGACGTGGACGTGGACGTGGACGTGACGTGGACGTGGACGTGGACGTGGACATAGACGTGGACATGGACGTGGACGTGGACGTGGACGTGGACATAGACGTGGACGTGGACGTGGACGTGGACGCGGACGTGGACATGGACGCGGACGTGGACGTGGACGTGGACGTGGACGTGGAGATGGACGTGGACGTGGACGTGGACGTGGACGTGGAGATGGACGTGGACGTGGACATGGACGTGGACATGGACATGGACGTGGACGTGGACATGGACGTGGACGTGGAGGACGTGGACGTGGACGTGGACGTGGACGTGGAGAACTTGGACGTGGACATGGACGTGAACGTGGACGTGGACGTGGACGTGGAGGACTTGGACGTGGACATGGACGTGGACGTGGACGTGACGTGGACGTGGACGTGGACATGGACGTGGACGTGGACATGGACGTGGACATGGACGTGGACGTGGACGTGGACGTGGACGTGGACATGGACGTGGACATGGACGTGGACGTGGACATGGACATGGACATGGACGTGGACGTGGACATGGCTTGGACATAGACGTGGACGTGGACGTGGACGTGGACATGGACGTGGACGTGGACATGGTCGTGGACGTGGACGTGGACGTGGACGTGGACATGGACGTGGACGTGCACAAGACGTGGACGTGAACATGGACGTGGACATGGACGTGGACATGGACGTGGACATGGACGTGGACGTGGACGTGGACATGGACGTGGACGTGGACATGGACGTGGACGTGGACGTGGACATGGACGTGGACATGGACATGGACGTATGGACGTGGACGTGGACGTGGAGGACTTGGACGTGGAGATGGACGTTGACGTGGACGTGGACGTGGACGTGGACATCGACGTGGACGTGGACATGGACGTAGACGTGGACGTGGACATGGACGTGGACATGTACGTGAACGTCGACGTGGAAGTGGACGTGGACGTGGAGAACTTGGACGTGGACATGGACGTGGACATGGACGTGGACGTGGACGTGGACGAAGACATGGTCGTGGATGTGGACGTAGACGTGGACGTGGACGTGGACATGGACTTAGACGTGGACGTGGACGTGGATGTGGTCGTGGACGTGGACGTGGTCGTGGACATGGACGTGGACGTGGACATGGACGTGGACGTGGACGTGGACGTAGACATGGACGTGGACCTGGACGTGGACGAGGACGTGGACGTGGACATGGACGTGGACGTAGACAGGGACATGGATTTGGACATGGACGTGGACGTGGACATGGACGTGGACGTGGACATGGACATGGACATGGACGTGGACGTGAACGTGGACGTGGACATAGACGTGGACGTGGACGTGGACATGGACATGGACACGTCCACGTCCATGTCCTCATCCACGTCCATGTTTACGTCCACGTCCATGTCCACGTCCATGTCCATGTCCATGTTCACGTCCACGTCCACGTCCACGTCCATTTCATTTGCACTCTAAGTTCCCATACTGACCGACCTGGCCAATGCACCATTTTCCATATACATATGTATTAGATTCCTTTCGAACCTTATAAGCTCACTAGATTTATATATTTCCCACCTTCTGATCGAGTGAGACCGCTAGATTCCCTCTACTTTTTGAGAAATGAACGTTTCCGTTCTCCTTGGCCCTAGTTGCACTATAAGTGCGAAATGCCGGCCAGACTGGCCGATGCACAATTTTCTCTACACATGTGCGTTAGTTACCTTTCAAACCCTTACGTTCACTAGATGAATATATTTCCTACTTTCTATTTGAGTGAGACCACTTGATTCCGTGTACTATGTGAGATCTGAGCGCTTCCGTTCTCCCTGGCATTTGCATTTTAAGTTCCGATACTGACCGACCTGGCCAATGCACCATTTTCTCTATACATGTGCGTTGAATACATTTCAAACCTTTTTAGCTGACTAGATTTGTATATTTCCCACTTTCTCATAGAGTGAGACCGTTAGATTCCCTCTACTTTTTGAGAAACGAGCGTTTCCGTTCTCCCTGGCCCCACCTGCACTATGAGTGCGAAATGCTGGCCAGACTGGCCAATGCACCATTTTCTATACACATGTGCGTTAGTTACCTTTCAAACCCTTACGTTCACTAGATGAATATATTTCCTACCTTATATTTGAGTGAGACCACTAGATTCCGTGTATTATGCGAGATCTGAGCGGTTCCGTTCTCCGAGGCATTTGCACTCTAAGTTCCCACACTGACCGACCTGGCCAATGCACCACTTTCCATATACATATGCATTAGATTCCTTCCGAACCTTATTAGCTCACTAGATTTATATATTTCCCACCTTCTGATCGAGTGAGACCGCTAGATTCCCTTTACTTTTTGAGAAATGAGCGTTTCCGTTCTCCTTGGCCCTACTTGCACTATAAGTGCGAAATGCCGGCCAGACTGGCCGATGCTCCATTTTCTCTACACATGTGCGTTAGTTACCTTTCAAACCCTTACGTTCACTAGAAGAATTTATTTCCTACCTTCTATTTGAGTGAGACCACTAGATTCCGTGTACTATGCGAGATCTGAGCGCTTATGTTCTCCCTGGCATTTGCACTCTAAGTTCCCATACTGACCGACCTGGCCAATGCACCATTTTCCATACACATATGCATTAGATTCCTTTCGAACCTTATTAGCTCATTAGATTTATATATTTCCCACCTTCTGATCGAGTGAGACCGCTAGATTCCCTCTACTTTTTGAGAAATGAGCGTTTCTGTTCTCCTTGGCCCTACTTGCACTATAAGTGCGAAATGCTGGCCAGACTGGCCGATGCGCAATTTTCTCTACACATGTGCGCTAGTTACCTTTCAAACCCTTACGTTCACTAGATGCATATATTTCCTACCTTATATTTGAGTGAGACCACTAGATTCCATGTATTATGCGAGATCTGAGCGGTTCCGTTCTCCGAGGCATTTGCACTCTAAGTTCCCATACTGACCGACCTGGCCAATGCACCACTTTCCATATACATATGCATTAGATTCCTTCCGAACATTATTAGCTCACTAGATTTATATATTTCCCACCTTCTTATCGAGTGAGACCGCTAGATTTCCTCTACTTTTTGAGAAATGAGCGTTTCCGTTCTCCTTGGCCCTAGTTGCACTAAAAGTGCGAAATGCCGGCCAGACTGGCCGATGCACCATTTACTCTACACATGTGCGTTAGTTACCTTTCAAACCCTTACGTTCACTAGATGACTTTATTTCCTACATTCTATTTGAGTGAGACCACTAGATTCCGTGTACTATGCGAGATCTGAGCGCTTCTGTTCTCCCTGGCATTTGCACTCTAAGTTCCCATACTGACCGACCTGACCAATGCACCATTTTCCATATACATATGCATTAGATTCCTTTCGAACCTTATTAGCTCACCATAATTATATATTTCCCACCTTCTGATCGATTGAGACCGCTGGATTCCCTCTACTTTTTGAGAAATGAGCGTTTCCGTACTCCTTGGCCCTAGTTGCACTAAAAGTGCGAAATGCCGGCCAGACTGGCCGATGCATCATTTTCTCTACACATATGCGTTAGTTACCTTTCAAACCCTTACGTTCACTAGATGAATATATTTCCTACCTTCTATTTGAGTGAGACCACTAGATTCCGTGTACTATGCGAGATCTGAGCGGTTCCGTTCTCCCAGGCATTTGCACTCTAAGTTCCCATACTGACCGACCTGGCCAATGCACCACTTTCCATATACATATGCATTAGATTCCTTCCGAACCTTTTTAGCTCACTAGATTTATATATTTCCCACCTTCTGATAAAGTCAGACCGCTAGATTCCCTTTACTTTTTGAGAAATGAGTGTTTTTGTTTTCCTTCGCCCTACTTGCACTATAAGTGCGAAATGCCGGCCAGACTGGCCGATGCACCATTTTCTCTACACATGTGCGTTAGTTACCTTTCAAACCCTTACGTTCACTAGATGAATATATTTGCTACCTTCTATTTAAGTGAGACCACTAGATTTCATGTACTACGCGAGATCGGAGCGCTTCCGTTCTCCCTGGCATTTGCACTCTAAGTTCCCATACTGACCGACCTGGCCTATGCACATTTTTCGATATACATATGCATTAGATTCCTTTCGAACCTTATTAGCCTACTAGATAAATATATTTCCCACCTTCTGATCGAGTGAGACCGCTAGATTCCCTTTACTTTTTGAGAAATGAGCGTTTCCGTTCTCCTTGGCCCTAGTTGCACTATAAGTGCGAAATGCCGGCCAGACTGGCCGATGCACAATTTTCTCTACACATGTGCGTTAGTTACCTTTCAAACCCTTACGTTCACTAGATGAATATATTTCCTACTTTCTATTTGAGTGAGACCCCTTGATTCCGTGTACTATGCGAGATCTGAGCGCTTCCGTTCTCCTTGGCATCTGCATTTTAAGTTCCGATACTGACCGACCTGGCCAATGCACCATTTTGTCTATACATGTGTGTTGAATACATTTCAAACCTTTTTAGCTGACTAGATTTATATATTTCCCACCTTCTGATCGAGTGAGACCGTTAGATTCCCTCTACTTTTTGAGAAACGAGCGTTTCCGTTCTCCCTGGCCCCACCTGCACTATGAGTGCGAAATGCCGGCCAGACTGGCCGATGCACCATTTTCTCTACACATGTACGTTAGTTACCTTTCAAACCCTTATGTTCACTAGATGAATAAATTTCCTACTTTACATTTGAGTGAGACCACTAGATTCCGTGTATTATGCGAGATCTGAGCGGTTCCGTTCTCAGGGGCATTTGCACTCCAAGTTCCCATACTGACCGACCTGGCGAATGCACCATTTTCCATATACATATGCATTAGATTCCTTTTGAACCTTATTAGCTCACTAGATTTATATATTTCCCACCTTCTGATCGAGTGAGACTGCTAGATTCCCTCTACTTTTTGAGAAATGAGCGTTTCCGTTCTCCTTGGCCCTACTTGCACTATAACTGCGAAATGCCAGCCAGACTGGCCGATGCACCATTTTCTCTACACATGTGCGTTAGTTACCTTTCAAACCCTTACGTTCACTAGATGAATTTATTTCCTACCTTCTATTTGAGTGAGACCACTAGATTCCGTGTACTATGCGAGATCTGAGCGCTTCCGTTCTCCCTGGCATTTGCACTCTAAGTTCCCATACAGACCGACCTGGCCAATGCACTATTTTCCATATACATATGCATTAGATACATTTCAAACCTTATTAGCTCACTAGATTTATATATTTCCCACCTTCTGATCGAGTGAGACCGCTAGATTCCCTCTACTTTTTGAGAAATGAGCATTTCCGTTCTCCTTGGCCCTAGTTGCACTATAAGTGCGAAATGCCGGCGAGACTGGCCGATGCACAATTTTCTCTACACATGTGCGTTAGTTACCTTTCAAACCTTTTCGTTCACTAGATGAATATATTTCCTACTTTCGATTTGAGTGAGACCACTTGATTCCGTGCACTATGCGAGATCTGAGCGCTTCCGTTCTCCCTGGCATTTACATTTTAAGTTCCGATACTGACCGACCTGGCCAATGCACCATTTTCTCTATACATGTGCGTTGAATACATTTCAAACCTTTTTAGCTGACTAGATTTATATATTTCCCACCTTCTGATCGAGTGAGACCGTTAGATTCCCTCTACTTTTTGAGAAACGAGCGTTTTTGTTTTCCCTGGCCCTACCTGCACTATGAGTGCGAAATCCCGGCCAGACTGGCCGATGCACCATTTTCTCTACACATGTGCGTTAGTTACCTTTCAAACCCTTACGTTCACTAGATGAATATATGTCCTACCTTATATTTGAGTGAGACCACTAGATTCCGTGTATTGTGCAAGATTTGAGCGGTTCCGTTCTCCCAAGCATTTGCACTCTAAGTTCCCATACTGACCGACCTGGCCAGGCACCACTTTCCATATACATATGCTTTAGATTCCTTCCGAACCTTATTAGCTCACTAGATTTATATATTTCCCACCTTCTGATCGAGTGAGACCGCTAGATTCCCTTTACTTTTTGAGAAATGAGCGTTTCCGTTCTCCTTGGCCCTACTTGCACTATAAGTGCGAAATGCCGGCCAGACTGGCCGATGCACCATTTTCTCTACACATGTGCGTTAGTTACCTTTCAAACCCTTACGTTCACTAGATGAATTTATTTCCTACCTTCTATTTGAGTGAGACCACTAGATTCAGTGTACTATGCCAGATCTGAGCGCTTCCGTTCTCCCTGGCATTTGCACTCTAAGTTCCCATACTGACCGACCTGGCCAATGCACCATTTTCCATATACATATGCATTAGATTCCTTTCAAACCTTATTAGCTCATTAGATTTATATATTTCCCACCTTCTGATCGAGTGAGACCGCTAGATTCCCTTTACTTTTTGAGAAATGAGCGTTTCCGTTCTCCTTGGCCCTTCTTGCACTATAAGTGCGAAATGCGGGCCAGACTGGCCGATGCACCATTTTCTCTACACATGTGCGTTAGTTACCTTTCAAACCCTTACGTTCACTAGATGAATTTATTTCCTACCTTCTATTTGAGTGAGACCACTAGATTCCGTGTACTATGCGAGATCTGAGCGCTTCCGTTCTCCCTGGCATTTGCACTCTAAGTTCCCATACTGACCAACCTAGCCAATGCACCATTTTCCATATACTTAGCATTAGATTCCTTTCGAACCTTATTAGCTCACTAGATTTATATATTTCCCACCTTCTAATCGAGTGAGACCGCTAGATTCCCTCTACTTTTTGAGAAATGAACGTTTCCGTTCTCCTTGGCCCTAGTTGCACTATAAGTGCGAAATGCCGGCATGACTGGCCGATGCACAATTTTCTCTACACAT